AGCCGAGCCCAGGTGGCCGCATAGCCTGAGTTGGCGATCTCGGATTGTGCAGGTAACAGGTCCTGTGCCAGTCTCACGGTGCAATCGTTGGTTAGACACATGGTCCCGCCAACAATACCCCATGATCCAGCACAAGGACCTATTACAGAAAGCATCAAGACAAGACTCCAGGGCACTGGATAATGTCCAGGTTTCACTACCGTAGAGGAAAACTGGCATTATCAGGGCCATGAAAACCCGTAGCATGGTCCTTCTGCACAGGTACCGGCATCTCCAAATACTCTTGTCAAGAGAGTTCATGACCCCTGCTGCCAGGCCAATCCATCTGCTGACTTCCTGGTCTGACAGCAACAGAGTTATGAATTGTACTACCAAGGTATGCAATGCTCTCTGTGACTTCGACGTCCACGCCGCAAGCACGCACCGACTGAACTGCTTCTCCTAGCAAGTCCCTAAAGTCCTGGATCTTGGCCTTGGTCCAGGACCTCTAAACCCAAGGGCTTCACTTCATTTCTAAATGCACTGAGAGCCACCACTAGGGTTTCCAAAGACTCAGATAGAATAGCATCATTGGCAAAGTCAAGGTCAGTAACCTTAATATTGCCTAGTGTTGCTCCACAATGACTTTGAACAGTAGCTCTGCCTAGTATCCAGTCCATGTAAGTATTGAAATGTGTTGGTGCAAGAACACAGCCTTGCCTCACTCCTGAACTGACAGGAAAGAAGCTCGACAGGGCCCCACCACACTTTACAGCACTTTCAATACCAGTATACATGTTTGCTATTAGTTCAATAATCCTTGTTGGAATTCCTCTCAGTCTCAGGATCTCCCAGTGATTCCCAATGCACTGTATCGAACGCCTTCTTGAGGTCGATGTTGGCTGCAAGCAGCCCACGTCCGGACTCACGACAGCACTCTACAATGACTCGAAGCGCAAGGATACAGTCTATTGTGGACTTACCAGGAGTGAATCCGGATTGCTCCGGCCTCTAATGCCTTAGTAGATGGTCTCTAATACGCCTCAGAAGGATGTGGGCAAGCACCTTGCCTGGTACACTGAGCAGTGTGATGCCGCGGTGATTGCTGCAGTCCCCCCCCCTTCCAGAGAGGGATGACCACACTCCTCAACAGGTCAGGGGGAACGGTACCACCAGATGGCAGCCAGAACAGCATGCAATCCCCGTGCCATAGTTCAGCATGCTGCAACCCTGCTGCTTTACCACTCTTTAGCTTGGAGATCACCTCCCCAACTTCAATGAGGGAGGCTGGGTCCTCACTAATGGGTGGGTCTGGCAGCGGAATCACGGCACTACCCGCATTCAACTTAGCTGTTGGAGGGTCAACTTGATACAACTGCCCAAAATACTCAGCCCAACGTTCCCGCACAGCAACAGAATCTGAGACAATCTGGCCACCTACTAAGCGAACTACAGTCACCTGTGAAGAGGGCTTGGAATTCAGTTTTCTCTGGGCTTGGTATGCAGGACGAAGGTCATTTATTAAGAAATGGCCTTCGACCTCCTCAGCAAGACTCCTAATAAACTGTTCCTTATCCCTTCTTCACAGAGACCGAGTTCTGCGCACCTGAGAATGGTGCAAATCCCGATCCCCTGCCAGACAAGCCGCACGGCAAGCATCTGTGGCTTCCAGTGTCTCCTGAGAGATTAAATTCTGTCTTGCCCTCGGGCGTTCTCCAATCGATTCTTGGGCTGCATCAAGCGTTTCGCACATGAAGGTGTCCCACAGAAGTACAGGGTCTGTCAGATTGTCAAGCGCTGTGAAGCGATCAGAGATTGTCTCAGCAAACCCCCGAGCATACTCCCTCTCCTTCAGCCTGTCCAAATGAAACACCCTAGGGTGGTCATTGGGCCGCTGGGGAGTTTTGAAGTGAACCCGGAGGGTAGCCACAACCAATCTATGGTCAGTACCACAGAACTCGGCACTCCTATACACCCTGCAGTTCTGGAGGATCCTCCAACGAGTAATAATGAGAATGTGGTCGATCTCCTTGGCTGCATTACCTGCATCGCTGTACCATGTTCAACGATGTGAGTCTGGCTGGTACCAGGAGCCAGAAATCCTCAATTTCTGGGATCTTTCAAAATCCCAGAAAAGGAGGGAATTCTCACTGCCGGTATCAACTCCCTAACCAAGGGGGCCGACTGATATCTCATAGCCAGCTCGATCACAGCCAGATACCGCATTGAAGTTACCCAGAACATTACGAATATCTCACCGGGGACAATTGTCTGCCACAGATGCAAGTTTGGCATAGAACATCTCTTTCACGTCGAGTTTACAAACATCAGTAGGAGCGTACACAGCAATAAGACATGAAGCCAAAAGACAGCTTCAGTCTCATCAACATTATACGATCATCGACTGGAGTGACCTCTACCACCGAGGGCTGGAGCCTACTGGAGATGGTTGTGGCTACTCCCTGAAGATGGTGACCATCGCTGCGGCCTGACCAGTGATAGGTGTAGCCACCTACACTGATCATGCCACTGCCAGGTCTTCTCACTTCTGACAGAGCAGCCACCTCAACTCTCAGCCTCCCCAGTTCATACCGATCCCTGACGCAAAGAGCGGACGTTCAAGCCCCAACCCTGACTTCCCGCCTGAGGTTAACCCTCGGGCAGTCACTCCAGGTGGACGCCCCCTCTGCCACCCTGCGCCGACACTGCCCCACATAAAAGACTCATCATCCACCTGTGGGGTTCCTGAGGGCTTTGCCCCACAAGCTTCATATCTGCCCCAAGGAGCACAGCCACCCTCCAAGCAGCCGATATCATATATGTATATATGTATATATATACATATATATGTATATATATACATATATATGTATATATATATGTATATATATATATGCATATATATATATATACATACATATGTATGTATATATAAATATGTCTAGTTTATGCATATATGTATATATGTAAGTATGCATATATATATATATATATATATATATATATATATATATATATATATATATATATATATATATATATATATATATATATTATGTCCGTATGTATGTATGTATGTACAAATTTAATGAATATATATATATATATATATATATTTATATATATAAGTAAATACATATATGTATGTATATATATATATATATATATATATATATATATATATATATATATATAATATATATATATATATCTATACAGTGAGAGAGAGATAGAAACACACACACATACATATGTGTGTGTTTGTGTTAGGTACGTATATATATATATATATATATATATATATATATATATATATATATATATATATATATATATATATATATATATATAAGCATATATATATGTATGTATGTATATACATATACTCAAATATATAATTATGTCTTCCAAAACTAATCGATTTTCATTTAGAATGGATTTCCGGGGGGAAATTAAATAAACAGATTAACAGACAGGCCTAATTAATGGGTTCAAAGACATCAATTACAACTTATCAGATGTATCGGTGCATTGCATGAAATTCATTACAAAAAGTTCTTTCATTCGGACACTTCAAACATTTATTAGACAAAATATTCAATTTAAATCCTTTGGGTAGTTTAACTCGAGAACAATAAGACAAAATAATTGTGAAAACAATCTAACATTGAACATTGAACAGCAACAAACAAAACAATCCCCCCCAAAAGAACTATGTGACGCCTATACCATCAAAGGGAAAACAAAGGCACCATAGACGAAAAAACGACTTTGCTCCTAAGGTCTAAGGTTCTGTACGATCCAGCCCCTGTAGGAGGCGACGTCGGTGTAGATCGCAGGGACGCCGGGTCTTCCACACGCCCCGCCCTTCGATACAACGCCCAGCTGTTGAGGGGAAGAACGAAGTGTGAATCCTTCTGAGGGAAGGTTGTTCAAGGATACTAATGAAGCGGAGGTTGACGTCGTGATAAATCATTTTTTTCCTATAGGAAGCATTTTTATTATTATTATTATTATTACTATTATTATTATTATTGTGAGTTGGGGTCAAGCAGCGAGGAAGAGGGAAGGGAGGTTATGATTTTATGTGTGTGTGTGTGTTTGATTGCTTGTTTGCTTTCACAGCTGCAAAATCTCAGTACTCACGATGGTGCCAGGGGCAGCGTCCAAGAAGAGAGGGCCGCCGGAGTCACCACTGCATGAGTCTTGTCCGCCGAAACAAACCTGGAAAATTGTGACACCAAATTATCATAACCTGTATTTGTTATGCTATTTTGGTCTTCCAGTTCTAAGTTCAGTCACAAGAAATATTAGTCTGTTTCAGATTCACCTGTTCGTTAACCAGCGTTTCTCCTTCGTTCATTCTTTTGCAGGTGGCGAGATCAACGAAAGGCAGCGCGACCTTCTGCAGCACCTGGGTATCTCTGCCCCTCTCCGTATGCCCCCAGCCGATCACTATAGCGTCTCTACCCGCAAGGAAGGAGCCGACGTCTAAGCCAGCGCGAGGGAGGCAGATGGGCTGCACGCCAACTATGTGGTCAAAAGAACTTGTTTGAATTATGTAAATCAAGTCAGCCACAACGACTATTCATGTGACCATTCCCCAAATCCCCGAAAAGCGGAGGAAGATGACTGACCGTTGGATTGTGCGTTCCTGTTCAGTCTGATGAGCGCAATATCATCACTCTCGGGAGCACGTTTGTTGAAGGAAGGATGAAGGACGACTTGCTCAGGCGTGAAGTCTTGCACAGGAGGCAAGCAGAGGCGTTGGCTACAGTCTCTGGTCTTGGAGAGGTCGTGTTCGCCGAGACGGATTACAGTTCTGAAAATGAAAGTAAAAATTAATCATAACAACGATGATAACTAATAATGCAGGGTTTTATATCAGGTTCTTGTGCCTTCAGTGAAACTGTGAATGTCTGTTTATTGTACTTCTGTTACCTCCTGTATGAAAAGGGTGGCAAGGGTAGATATCCACTGCCAGTGCGGGACTTTGACTGCTAGACAAGACCAGTGAACCA